TATTCGTATACTTCCGTGGCTTTCGCTTTTTCCAAGTGTTTCAAATGCTTCGACTCGAGCATAGGTTCCGTCCGTGGCCTGTCATGTCATCTGTCGTTTGGCAACAGAGGGAACACTTAGCCATCACCACATATATGGGCTTTCTTTCGCTGCTATTCATCTCATTTGCCATCTATTTTGTCGAAAAAGACGTGAATCCGGCCTTCAATAACATCGCCGCCGCTATGTATTGGGGAGTCGTTACGCTTTGCACTGTCGGGTAGTTTATAATTATTTTGGCAATTGTTGTAACATTTTTTAAAAACTTATTCTTGAATTATTATCACACGTATAGTTATGGAGATATGATTCCCATTACGCCAACCGGAAAATTCCTGTCCTCTATATGTATAATAATTGGTGTCTCAATATTTGCATTACCGGCCGGAATATTGGGCACAGGTCTCGCACTCAAGGTATTTATTTCCTATATTTGTTTTTTTAATTTAAATTTGAAGTTAATAAAAGTTAACATTTATAAAGACATAAATTTTAAATAAAAGTAATAAAATATGTTATCTGCATTTATAATTAATTTACGTATTTTGAATTGCAGTACATGTAATCAAAATAAAATAATTTATTCATTAATATAATTTAATTAAAGCATAAATAGTTTTAAAACGTAAATATTAACGATTATTAGGTTCAGGAACAGCAAAGAGTCAGACAAATGGGTAAACGGAGAGAACCTGCAGGTGATTCAGATAAGAGTGTAATGAATTTGGACACATGAATAAACTAACATGAACATTTTGTTTATTACTATTGAATTGCAGCCAAACTAATACAGTGCACGTGGAGGTGCTATGTGTCGAGCGAGAACTCCATATCGACGGTCACCTGGAAGTCATACAAACGGTCTGATGGCAGACACGAGCCGCTGACCAACGGCGAGAAGACGGCCATCCGATTCATACGAGTGGTCAAGTATTTCATCGCTCGGCAAAACTTCAACAGAGCTCTGAAGCCGTACGACATAAAGGATGTGTTGGAACAGTACGCCGCCGGACACGCGGATGTGTTGGGCCGCGTCCGACACATGCAGTCCCGACTGAACGCCGTTCAGGTGTCGGTCAACACGAATCTCCGGGCGCTGAACGAGTCGAAAGTGATGCTGTCGTCCAGAATCAATCAGATAGAGGCCGTCGCCAGTGATATGCAAAACAAATTTTGCCAATTAATGGGACATCAGATCAGAGACATGAATGTTATCCAGAATTTAACCGATATTTTGAATCAACGAAATGCCAGTGATTTTCAGCGCAACTCATTGTCTTCCAGTCGGACATCAATCAGAACGAGAAGAAACTCGTTTTGAATTTTATTTATCTCACATTACATTTTGATATGAAAGCTTTTTTTTATTTAATTGGCAACTTTTTTTCAAAGCATTTTTCATTTATTTTATTTATTATTTATTATTAGACATAATTATTCATTAGTGAATTTAATTGCAATTTTAAAACAGTTGTCAATTTTATTTTGACACAATTTTACTGCTTATTATCGCTATTTATAAATTATTTTTATAGCATTTGTATAATTGTTAAATTAATGAATCTCTGATATATGCAAAATATCTAGCTAGAAATGATATGCAAATTTAAATATGTTTTTTTTAAACTTTTTAATTATTTATTTTAATTAAAATTAAATTTTTTAACGCAAGAGATATTCAATAAAACATGTGAAATATTGCGCACCGATATATTGACCGCAATTTACAGCCAAATAAAAACATTATAAATATATAGACATAAAGTTATTTTGTGTGAAATTTTCTCATCCGAATAGTGAGAAACATATTAGACATTGAAATGCAAACCTTTAGACCCAAAGCCGATCAAAGCCACTGAACTTTATATAAAATCTATTTCCAAGTCATTCACAAAATCATCAAACAATGAAGAAGAAGGGGCTCTGAATCTATAATTCCGGTCCAATTGTATTGTCTTCTCATTCATTGGTTGTGCCAAACATTTCGTATTCATTATTGACAACGAATGCTATTAAAAGTCGACCAAAAAGACTTATTTTTAGACATTATAGCGACTGAAGATGTTTTACACGGTTTTAATTATATTTTATTGCCATAAATTTATTTTCGTGAAAGCGTCAGGTATTTAACACAAACTTTAATCTTGTTTAATTGTTTCTTGTTTATTCTTATCGTTGAATCAATTAATTTTATTTTTGTTTAATTTAGTGTTCAATTCAATCATATCTTCGGAAGAATTTAATAATTTAAAAATAATACCATTGAATAAAATTCCGTTAAAAATGCTCGAAAACTACCGAAACATCACAAGAGTTATTGAATTCATTCGTGAAAATTCCCTACAAATACCACAAATACCGGTCGGACAGAGAATTGGATGGGGTTTACAGACATTTGGTTTGTCCCTTCATTTGTTTAATTATGTAAATTAACTAATTTTTGGTTTTCATAAGATATGATGGATGAAAATTTGTTAAAAGTATCCAAACGTTTAACAGCAAAAGACATCAAATTTATAGTGAAAAATGTGATAAGACTTTTACTACGAAAAAATCTCTTCACCCGAAAAGTGTTTATTTTAAACCAATTTAAAGCCGTTATAATGAATGTTATGAATGAGATTATGTCCGACAAACTTCTCAATCTATTGCAAAACCTATCGATGACTGTCTTTCTGTCAATGATTATCTCCATTTGTACAGTAGTTCTTCAGGTGATTGGTCTGCCAGAAGGACAGGCAATCTCCTGGTGTGTCATTACAATCATCTTTCCGGTCATTCAATTTATAAAACCCACACAAATGCAACAATTAATTAATCAACCAATCAATTAATCATTTAATTGTCGGATTACATTGTGTTCTACTATTTAATTTTATACATAGTAAGTAATTTAATATACAGTATTATTTTATTACATCACTATATTGTTTGTAAATTTATGTAAANAAAAATACGTTACCAGTAATTAAGACAACTTTTCCCATAAATGTCATGATTGAGATATTATTACATTTATTTTGACTTTTCGTTTATAAATACTAAAATTGAGGCAAAATCTGAATGTGTTTTATTTATCCAAAATAAATCCAAATAAACACATTAATTATTAACTAGATTTTGACCAAACTTTGCAATCATTGTCTACTTTTATACAAAAAATAATTCATATTTGATTATTGTATCGATTCTTTCATAAAGTGTATGAATTATACATCGAAATCAATACCGCAAACAAAACCATGGCTTTGATAACTAGTCTCTCATTATTTCAAATCAATAATTTGCTTAATTATGTAAAGTGTGATAAAAGCCGATAACAAAAAGCCGACTGACATTGAAATAAACGCTTGGGAGACGGCGTTTACGTCAATGGCTTTGAAAATAATGTTTTTAATGAGTTTAAAATTGTGGTAAATTGCGATACTTTATTTCATAATAGGTTAAAATAGGTTACAATACTGTAAATCATTGAAATCAACAAACCTTTTTTGATATGTTTTTATATATCATTTTTACCAATTTTTTGTCTCAGATTTGCACTCAAATGACGTAAATTAGGTTTTAATTAAATGTATATATGAATAGCAAACCAATAATTCAGTGCTTAAATAAGTAATTAATTTACAGAAACTGATATTCAGTTAAACTTTTATTTATCATTTTTATTAAACAAATCAAACAAGAATTTACATAAATTTACAAACAATATAGTGATGTAATAAAATAATACTGTATATTAAATTACTTACTATGTATAAAATTAAATAGTAGAACACAATGTAATCCGACAATTAAATGATTGATTAATTGATTGGTTGATTAATTAATTGTTGCATTTGTGTGGGTTTTATAAATTGAATGACCGGAAAGATGATTGTAATGACACACCAGGAGATTGCCTGTCCTTCTGGCAGACCAATCACCTGAAGAACTACTGTACAAATGGAGATAATCATTGACAGGAAGACAGTCATCGATAGGTTTTGCAATAGATTGAGAAGTTTGTCGGACATAATCTCATTCATAACATTCATTATAACGGCTTTAAATTGGTTTAAAATAAACACTTTTCGGGTGAAGAGATTTTTTCGTAGTAAAAGTCTTATCACATTTTTCACTATAAATTTGATGTCTTTTGCTGTTAAACGTTTGGATACTTTTAACAAATTTTCATCCATCATATCTTATGAAAACCAAAAATTAGTTAATTTACATAATTAAACAAATGAAGGGACAAACCAAATGTCTGTAAACCCCATCCAATTCTCTGTCCGACCGGTATTTGTGGTATTTGTAGGGAATTTTCACGAATGAATTCAATAACTCTTGTGATGTTTCGATAGTTTTCGAGCATTTTTAACGGAATTTTATTCAATGGTATTATTTTTAAATTATTAAATTCTTCCGAAGATATGATTGAATTGAACACTAAATTAAACAAAAATAAAATTAATTGATTCAACGATAAGAATAAACAAGAAACAATTAAACAAGATTAAAGTTTGTGTTAAATACCTGACGCTTTCACGAAAATAAATTTATGGCAATAAAATATAATTAAAACCGTGTAAAACATCTTCAGTCGCTATAATGTCTAAAAATAAGTCTTTTTGGTCGACTTTTAATAGCATTCGTTGTCAATAATGAATACGAAATGTTTGGCACAACCAATGAATGAGAAGACAATACAATTGGACCGGAATTATAGATTCAGAGCCCCTTCTTCTTCATTGTTTGATGATTTTGTGAATGACTTGGAAATAGATTTTATATAAAGTTCAGTGGCTTTGATCGGCTTTGGGTCTAAAGGTTTGCATTTCAATGTCTAATATGTTTCTCACTATTCGGATGAGAAAATTTCACACAAAATAACTTTATGTCTATATATTTATAATGTTTTTATTTGGCTGTAAATTGCGGTCAATATATCGGTGCGCAATATTTCACATGTTTTATTGAATATCTCTTGCGTTAAAAAATTTAATTTTAATTAAAATAAATAATTAAAAAGTTTAAAAAAAACATATTTAAATTTGCATATCATTTCTAGCTAGATATTTTGCATATATCAGAGATTCATTAATTTAACAATTATACAAATGCTATAAAAATAATTTATAAATAGCGATAATAAGCAGTAAAATTGTGTCAAAATAAAATTGACAACTGTTTTAAAATTGCAATTAAATTCACTAATGAATAATTATGTCTAATAATAAATAATAAATAAAATAAATGAAAAATGCTTTGAAAAAAAGTTGCCAATTAAATAAAAAAAAGCTTTCATATCAAAATGTAATGTGAGATAAATAAAATTCAAAACGAGTTTCTTCTCGTTCTGATTGATGTCCGACTGGAAGACAATGAGTTGCGCTGAAAATCACTGGCATTTCGTTGATTCAAAATATCGGTTAAATTCTGGATAACATTCATGTCTCTGATCTGATGTCCCATTAATTGGCAAAATTTGTTTTGCATATCACTGGCGACGGCCTCTATCTGATTGATTCTGGACGACAGCATCACTTTCGACTCGTTCAGCGCCCGGAGATTCGTGTTGACCGACACCTGAACGG